CGATTCAAGGACTGTCCAACCCATGCGATAAAGTTACATCTAGATGTGTATAAGAGACAGGAGAGAGAGAGAGAGAGAGAGAGAGAGAGAGAGAGAGAGAGTTGTACTGATGCCTGTCGACAAAGGGTGCTGATGGCCGTATGATGCTTTGTTTGGGACGCTGTTGAGGAAAGAAAGTTACAGCTCTGCATGTTCAGAGCAAGGGAGCATATTGACTGAACCAGAATTTTTTGGGCTTCAAGCGTTGGGAAGGGAAGTGTGTTTTGTGCGCTGATGGATTGATCTATGGTTCTCTGGCTGTGGACTCTGGCAGATGGCATCGAACAGGTATTGGTCGGTGGGAATGGAGCATGAAAGCAGATGTCAATCTGCAACGGTCGATTTGGTGAAATGCCACGCGCATCACCCTCATCATCACAGGGTATGTGTCTGGCGAAGGCTGTGCCTTCTGAACATGGTTCCTGCACAAGTGTCTGTGCGAGGTTGACCACGAATGGGAAGTGTGAAAGCCACCGATGTCCATCTATGACCGTTGATCCGATTGAACTGTGTGTGCAGTTCACTCGTCATTTATTATGTTGTCTGGGGATAGATCTTCGACAGTGTAGAACGTATTATGAGAGATGTTCAAGGAGGCTGGCTTCACGGCGGATGCGGCCCTTGCATGACAGTTGCTGCGAGGTTGATCACTACTGATGGGAGTGGGCTACCATGGTTGTCTGACGAGGCGGAGCCCGGAGGAGAGGGCGCGCCGCAGATGGCACTGTTTTCTCGTAAAAAGTGCGGCCATCGTTTCGTTCTTTGCCATGGCGTCCCTTATTTCGATCCTGCGCAGCATATCCATCTGCGATCCTTCGTCTCAATGGGAGGGTGTATTGGGAGATGGAGATGATCAGCGTAGCGCCCATCACGAAAGAGATTCCGCTGGCACGACGACTCAGCGGTACCTCACACATTCTCTTGCTGCCGAATGGAATGGCAGCAATGCTCAGAGTCAGCGGTCAGATTCGCGTCAGGGAAGCAGTCACTGGCTGCTGGTGTGGGCAGGGCAGCGGAAGGAGAAGCGTCTGGTTGATCGGGGGAGAAATATTGGGTCCTGGAGAGAGAATGACGCGGTTGCCGATGGTGCTTTTGGGCTGACTACGCATCGCGATGCAGCCGTAGATGACTGCAGGTCCTCTCCACCAACCAGTGAACGAGAAGGGAAAGGGGATGCAGAAGACATGACGACTGCAGGTCCTCACCGCCAACTCCAGTGGGGCATCAACGGAGAGGAGAGCGATGACGATCTGGCGATAGCGGCAGATAAGGGTGGAACGCCGTTGGAAAGAAGAAGGGTCAAAGGCCAGGGAGGAGAGGCTGCACCTGAGATGGAGGGTGGCGGGCGAGGTTGGCGAGATCAGCTCCAGGGGGTTGATGGGCATGGGCAGACAGCCGGGCGCGCTTGCGCAATGGTGTATTCGAGGCCGAAAGCAGAACGCTGCCAGCACGCCACAAGATACTGCCGGGCCGGCAGCCGTAGCCTCATCGATTACACCGAGTTACATTTCTGTGTGTTGAAGGGCCGCATGTGGGTGTCGGTTCCATTGTTAGTTGTGGGAGTTCTGACTGCTTTCTATCTGCTAGCTGAGACTGCGGAGGAGTACTTCTGTCCTGTGGTCGCAAAGATCTCGACCATGTTGAGCTTGTCGCCGAACACGGCAGGCGTGACTTTCCTTGCATTCGGCAATGGTGCGCCCGATGTTTTCTCGTCTTTGGCAGCATTTGTTGGGGGCAATCCGAAAATAGGAATTGGAGCGATCATAAGCGCGGGGACGTTTGTCACGGCGTTCGTTGTTGGTTGTGTTGCGATGGTTGCTGCACCGATCGCGGTTCGTGGAGGCCCGTTCTTGCGAGATGTCGGGTTCTACGTCGTTGCAGCGGTCGCCGTGTTCCTTGTATACTGCCAGGGATTCGTTGCGTTGTGGCAAGCTGTCGGGTTTTGTGTCTACTACCTCTTTTTCGTTACAATAACCATAATGTCGGACCGTCGTCAAAAGCCTGGACTGGGAATGGTGGGGGTCCAGACCAAGCAAGACTTGTTGCAATCTGTGCATCACAATCCGTCTCCCTCGTCTTCTCCTTCTCCTCCTCCTCCTCCTCCACCGCCTTCATCTCCCCTGCTGCCTCCTCCTCCTCCTCCTCCTCCTCCTCTTCCTCCTCCTCCTGCTCTCCCTTCTCATTCCCATCAGCATCTGCAGGCAACATCCGCAGCTCGGCGCTCGTCATTGCCATTGCTGGAGGTCTCCCCAGGAATGGGGGATGATGCACTAGCAGGAGGGGGGCTGGTGATCGGGGGTGCGAACGCGTTCCAGCAGCAGCAGAGTAAAGGAGGAGGAGGAGGAGGAGGAGGAGGAGGAGGAGGAGGGGTCATCTCTGTGGGTGTTTCCGAAGCGGGTGATAACTTTGAAGACCGGGGAGCAGCGGCAGATGTTACAAAGAAAGTTCCATCACGAGTGTTCACATCGTGGAGGTACTGGCAGGAGTGGAGCACGGCATTCACAAGAATGAGTGTGGGAGCGAAGGCCTGGCACCTGATTCGTCTCCCATTCGATGTGCTTCGCCGATCGACGATTCCGGCAGTCGACGATGCGCAGTGGAACAGGCTGTACGGGACCGTAAATGTGGTCGTCTGTCCTCTGATCTGCCTCTACGCCTGTGGGCCATTGATCGGGTTCACCAGAGAGGTTACCTTGATCGACACGGTGTCCGTGAAGGTGCCGTTGTGGCTGCTTGTCCTCGTGCAGAGCTCGCTCATGGGCGTCGCTTTCTTCATGTCGACGCAGTACAACCGTGCGCCTGAGTCGGGTCGTGGTGCAACTGTCTTCATTGCGTTCCTGATGAGCATCTTCTGGATCTCTTCCATAGCAAGCGAACTGCTCGGCTTTCTGACTGCGCTGGGAATCATTTTCCATATCTCACCGGCGATCCTTGGCGTCACCGTGCTCGCCTGGGGTAACTCTGTCGGGGACCTCTTCGCCGACGTCAGCATCGCCCGCACAGGCCAGCCCACCATGGCCATTGCTGGCTGCTTTGCCGGGCCGATGTTTAACATGCTCGTAGGCCTCGGATTGGCGCTAAGTATCCGAACCGCCAGTCTGTATCCGGAGGTGTACAAGCTCCATTACCATCCTAACATCCCCTTATCCTTTGGTTTTTTGTTGTGTAGTCTGCTTGGCTCTCTCATTTTCGTAACTGGCTCGAGTTTCCGAGTGACGAGAACTTGGGGTGTCTGTCTGATCTCCCTGTACCTTGCGTTCATGCTCGCCAGCGTTATCGTTGAGACGGGGGTAATTGTCGACGTACCCAGCTGAATGAATGTCCCCTTTTTCTTGCAATTGTCTTTTACAAAGTATTTCTTCTTTTTTTATTCGATTTTATTATCGACTAAAAAAAAAAAACTAAAGGGAGGGTAATTCTTGATCCTGCTGGGGCCTTGAGCTCTCCCCTCCCCCCCTCTTTCCCCCCCCTCTTTCTTTCATTGTCAGCTTCACACTGGTATGTCATGTATTTATTCAATTTTATTGCATTTTATTCTGTAGTAATATCAATGGTGCCCTCTTTCTTATCCTGTTATCCCTTCTGACTAAGGCAATTATATCTTCTCCCTCTCTGCCTACGGTTTACCGGACAGCTCTGTTTGACTATATATATAGCTCCTACGAAACAGTTTGTCACAGCTGCTCGTTTGTTGTGCTCTTCTCTCTCTCTGCCTACGGTTTACCAGGCAGCTCTGTTTGACGCCTCCTGATGAGTCGGTGAAACTCCGACAGAACAGTTTGTCACAGCCCCCTCGTTTGTTGTCCTTTTCTCCCTCTCTGCCTATGGTTTACCGGGCAGCTCTGCTTGACGATATATATATACAGTTTGTCACAGCCCCTCGTTTGTTGTCCTCTTCTCTCTCTCTCTCTGCCTACGGTTTACCGGGCAGTTCTGTTTGTGACGATATATATGACGATATATATATATATATATGCATAGGGTTCAGCCTCCTGATGAGTCGGTGAAACTCCGACGAAACAGTTTGTCACAGCCCCTCGTTTGTTGTCCTCTTCTCCCTCTCTGCCTACGGTTTACCGGGCAGTTCTATTTGACGATATATATATATATAGTCGGTGAAACTCCGACGAAACAGTTTGTCACAGCCCCTCGTTTGTTGTCCTCTTCTCCCGCTCTGCCTACGGTTTACCGGGCAGTTCTATTTGACGATATATATATATGAAACTCCGACGAAACAGTTTGTCACAGCCCCTGGTTTGTTGTCCTCTTCTCCCTCTCTGCATATGGTTTACCGGGCAGCTCTGTGTGCATTACCGAATACTTTATTCTGGATTATTGATCGACTGTCGTGTGACACCTGTCGGGACAGGGATGCGGTGCGTCTTGGCTGCGGAATTCATCACCTATGCCATCAACATTATCAATCTATTGCAGCCGCCGCCGTCTGTGCTGAAGGGTGTTCAACATTTCCTCCTTGTACACATCCCTATCACCCAGATATTTGTTGTCCCTTTTGTGCTCAAGGACACTATCAGGACTGCATGATGCCGCACTGTAATGAACGTCCTGCTGTTTTTTTTACATGTGGACAGCATGTCCTTTGTCAGGACTGTTTTGATGGGATGGTCCGTGCTAGCCGTCCTGCTGAATGCTGTGCTGAAGTAGCTCTCCTTGATTATCCTTGTGAACATCCACGTCATCCTCATCGTGCCTGTCCTATCTGCCGGGGTGGAGGCTCCTCTTCCTGACTGGTCAATAGAATTAAGCGATCAGGAGCAACACTAATTGTAGGACAGATAAAAGAAAGAAAGAGAAAAAGTACAAATTTCTGGAGCAAAGAAAAATGAAAACAAGAAAAACGGGAAAAAGAAAAAAATATGTTGAACTTTGTAGTGACAGTGGCAATTGGTTTATCTGTTGGATGTCTCATTTGCTTTCTTCCTTTGTTTTTTCTTTGACCTTTCTCTTTCTCTTGCCTCTGTTGAGGTGTGGTTTCTTCCTCCTTTTCTTTACCTCCTTGCCTTTTGGCTGCGTGCAAGTGGGTGCTTGTGACACAAGGGGATGGGGGAAGCCAGCGCTCAACCTGTCATCCACGTGGCTGACCTTGTACGTAAGAGGTGATGAACAGGTGGGGCTCTCCTTCCTTCCTTCTTTTCCTTTCCTTGTTTTGCTTTTTTTTGCCTTCGCGCTCTGATTCATAGTGTGACAATATATATGCTACGACTTCACTAGCTTCCTGCTACGGTTTTTTCCGGTCAGGTCGAGCGGCAGTGGTCGGGGCCGTTACTAGGCGGCCATGCTGTGCCTCTGGTGCCAGCGGCGTGTCTGGAGTGTATTTTTTGGCTGTGACAGACCTTTCTTTGTTTCGTGGATGTTTTGCTGGCTTGT